TCAGTGTCCCTGTTGTGTCCCTGTTGGTGTCCCCTCAGTGTCCCCCGCCGTGTCCCCTCCCGGGGTGACCCCGGGTGCCACCCCCGCCCTGCCCCTCCCCAGGGACGGGCACAGGGAGCGGGGAGGGGGCAAAGTCCGCGCGGTGCCGGCGCTCGGTGCCTTTGGTGCCGCCTTATCCCGGGGGAGGGGACAGGAGGGGACAGGGAGGGGACAGGAGGGGACAGGGAGGGACAGGGAGGGACAGGGAGGGACAGGAGGGGACAGGAGGGGACAGGGAGGGACAGGGAGGGACAGGGAGGGGACAGGAGGGGACAGGGAGGGACAGGGAGGGGACAGGGAGGGACAGGGAGGGACAGGAGGGGACAGGGAGGGACAGGGAGGGACAGGGAGGGGACAGGGAGGGGACAGGGAGGGACAGGGAGGGGACAGGAAGGGACAGGGAGGGACAGGGAGGGACAGGGAGGGACAGGGAGGGGACAGGAAGGGACAGGGAGGGACAGGGAGGGGACAGGGAGGGACAGGGAGGGGACAGGAAGGGACAGGGAGGGACAGGGAGGGGACAGGGAGGGACAGGAGGGACAGGAGGGACAGGGAGGGGACAGAGGGGGACGCTCGGGGCTCTCCCCATTCCCAGCTCGGGCTGCAGCCAGGGCTGGGGGGCTCCGGGGGCTCCGGGGGCTCCAGGATTCCAGGGGTTCTGGGGGTTCCAGGGGATCCGAGGATGCCCCAAAAATGCCCCCAAAGTGCCCCAAAAATTCCCCAATAATGCCCCCCAAAGTGCTCCCAAAATGTCCCCAAAGTGCCCCAAAAATGCCCCAAAAGTGCCCCAAAAATGTCCCCAAAAGTGCCCCAATAATGCCCCCAAAGTGCCCCAAAAATTCCCCAATAATGCCCCCCAAAGGGCCCCAATAATGCCCCCCAAAGTGCCCCAATAATGCTCGAAACGTGCCCCAATAATGCCCCAAAAGTGCCCCAATAATGCCCCCAAACGTGCTCCAAAAATGCCCCAAAAAAGTCCTCAAAAGTGCCCCCAAAGTGCCCCAATAATGGCCCAAAAGTGCTCAAAAAATGCCCCAAAAAAGTCCCCAAAGTGCCCCCAAAATTCCCCAATACAGCCCAAAAAATGCCCTAAAAATGCCCCAAAAACGCCAAAAAAATTCCCCAAAATGCCCCAAAGGCTCCGTGGGTTTCGGGATTTTCGGGATTTGCGGCGCCACCCCCCGCCCAAACTCGGGATTATTTCATTATTTTAATAATTCATTAATTCATTATTTAATTCATTCATTATTTAATTCATTCATTATTTTGCTTTCATTTTCTTCTTTTTTTAAAATTTTTTTTTCTTCTTCCTGACAAGAAGGAGGGAATGGGATCCGCTTGGAAAAAAATCCAAATTTTCCTTCTGGGATCATTCCCAGACCTTTCCCATCCCACTACTTCCCAATTTATTATAAAGAGAAATAAATAGAAATAAAATAGAAAAAGACATAGAAATGAATAAGAAATATGTAAAATATAAATAAAATAAATAACAAATAGAAATAAAAATATAAAAATACATAGAAATAAAAATAAAAATTAAAATAAAAATAAATATATTATAAAATAAATATAATTGTAAGAGAAACATAAATAACAAATAGATTTGTTTATATAAATATATATTTATATAAAATAAGTATTTATATGTAAGATATATATAATATATAATATATAATATATAATATATAATATATAATATATAATATATAATATATTATATAGTATATAGTATATAGTATATAGTATATAGTATATATTTTTTATAGAATGTAAATAAATTATCAATATAGATGATAAAAATAAATAGAAATAATCAATAGCAATAAATAGAAGTAAAATAGAAATAAATAAAATAAATATCAATGTAGTATAAAAATAAATAGAAAAGAAAAATAAAATACATAAAAATAAAAATAAAATAAGAAATAAACCCCGGATTTTCCTCCCCCGGGTGCCAAATAATTCAAAGAAGAGCCCAAAATGTTCATTTTTGGCAGCAGATTCGTCTCCAGCCGCCGGATCCAAGGCTGCAGCTCCTTGTCAAGGATTCTGCTGGCAATAAATTCAATTTTGCTGACAATAAATTCAATTTTGCTGCCCCCATTTGTCACTCCCGGGAGCGAATCCTTCACCCCACAAGGGCTGGAAATGAAATTCAGCGATTTTGGGGCTTTTTGTGGGTTTTTTTTTATCCTTGGGATAACGAATGGAGGGTGGGGAAAAAGGGAAAATCGGAATTATTGGGGTTGGTCGGGTTGGGGTCCCCAGGCAGAGACTGGGAAGGGTCAAATCCTGGGATTGGGAAAATGGGATTAAAATAAATCCGGGGTTTTGGGGAATTACAATAAATTTAATGATTAAAATAAAATGGAATTAAAATAAATCGAGGTTTTAGGGCTGGGATTATATTAAATCCAGGGTTTGGGGAATTAAAATAAATGATTAAAATAAAATGGAATTAAAATAAATCGAGATTTTAGGGCTGGAATTGGGGAAACCCCAGGGTTTAGGGAATGAAAATAAATGAAAATAAATGGTTAAAATAAAACGGAAATAAAATAAATTGAGGTTTTGGGGCTGGAGTTGGGAAAGAAATCCCAATTCCATTAAAATGGAATTAAAATAAATTGAGATTTTAGGGCTGGAATTGGGGGAAACCCAGGGTTTAGGGAATGAAAAATAAATGAAAAGAAATGGTTAAAATAAAATGGAATGAAAATAAATCGAGGTTTTGGGGCTGGAGTTGGGAAAGAAATCCCAATTCCATTAAAATGGAATTAAAATAAATTGAGATTTTAGAGCTGGAATTGGAAACCCAGGGTTTAGGGAATGGAAATAAATGAAAATAAATGGTTAAAATAAAACGAAATAAAAATAAATCGAGGTTTTAGGGCTGGGATTATATTAAATCCAGGGTTTGGGGGATTAAAATAAATGATTAAAATAAAATGGAATGAAAAGAAATCGAGGTTTTAGGGCTGGAGTTGGAAAGAAATCCCAATTCCATTAAAATGGAGTTAAAATAAATCGAGATTTTAGAGCTGGAATTGGGGAAACCCCAGGGTTTAGGGAATGAAAATAAATGAAAATAAATGGTTAAAATAAAACGAAATAAAAATAAATCGAGGTTTTAGGGCTGGGATTATATTAAATCCAGGGTTTGGGGGATTAAAATAAATGATTAAAATAAACGGAATGAAAATAAATCAAGGTTTTAGTGCTGGGATTATAATAAATCCAGGGTTTGGGGGATTAAAATAAATGATTAAAATAAAATGGGATGAAAATAAATCGAGGTTTTAGGGCTGGGATTGGGAAAGAAATCCCAATTCCATTAAAATGGAGTTAAAATAAATCGAGATTTTAGGGCTGGAATTGGGGGAAACCCAGGGTTTAGGGAATGAAAATAAATGAAAATAAATGGTTAAAATAAAATGAAATAAAAATAAATCGAGGTTTTAGGGCTGGGATTGGGAAAGGGATCAAGGTTTAAGGGCTGGAATTAAAAGAAAATATTTTAGAGGCCTGGAATTGTGAAAGGATTTGGGATTTTAGGGCTGGAATTAGGAAGCAAATTGAGGTTTTAGGGTTTGGGATTAGGAAGGGAGTGAAGTTTGTGGAGGCCTGGAATGAGAAAAGAAATCGAGGATTTAAAGGCCTGGAATTGAAATTAAAAATTCCGGAGTCCTGGGCTCAGGGAGGAAATGAAGATTTTGGGATTGGAAATGGAATCAAATCGAATGAAACCAAATCAGTTCCCAATTCCCCGGTGTCTGTCTGTCTGTCTGTCTGTCCGTTCCCGGTGTCTGTCTGTCTGTCCCGTTCCCATCCCCGGTGTGTGTCTGTCTGTCTGTCTGTCCGTTCCCAGTGTCTGTCTGTCTGTCCCGTTCCCATCCCCAGTGTCTGTCTGTCTGTCTGTCCCGTTCCTGCTGTGTGTGTATGTGTCTGTCTGTCTGTCCATTCCTGGTGTGTGTCTGTCTGTCTGTCTGTCTGTCCCGTTCCCGGTGTATATCTGTCTGTCTGTCCTGTTCCCATTCCCGTTCCCGGTGTGTGTCTGTCTGTCTGTCTGTCCGGTTCCATTCCCGGTGTCTGTCTGTCCCGTTCCCATTCCCGGTGTCTGTCTGTCTGTCTGTCCCGTTCCCATTCCCACTGTCTGTCTGTCTGTCTGTCCCGTTCCCATTCCCGGTGTCTGTCTGTCTGTCCGGTTCCATTCCCGGTGTCTGTCTGTCTGTCTGTCCTGTTCCCATTCCCGGTGTCTGTCTGTCTGTCCCGTTCCCATTCCCGGTGTCTGTCTGTCTGTCCCGTTCCCATTCCCGGTGTCTGTCTGTCTGTCCCGTTCCCGTTCCCACTGTCTGTCTGTCTGTCTGTCCCGTTCCCATTCCCACTGTCTGTGTGTCTGTCTGTCTGTCCGGTTCCATTCCCGGTGTCTGTCCCCCTCTGCCGGCCGAGCCAAAACATTCCCAGAAAAAGGGAAGAGAGCCCGGGAGCGCCAGGGGGATGGGGAACGGAAATTTAAAAATCAAAACAACAGCAACAGCCTAAAACCAATAGAATACAATGGAATACAACGTAGTACAAAGTAATATAATTATTATATAAACGCAAATAATAACGATAACAACGCTAATAACAATAGGAATAACACTAATAAAATAATAAAAATAAAATTTCAAAAATTAAAAAGAATAACAATGCCATTTAACCCTTTATCCGTTAACCCTTTCCCTCCCGGCGCGTCCGCCATCTTTCCCGAGGGGGGCGGAGCCTTTACTGCACGCGGCGCCGCTCGATGACGTCACGCGGCGCACCCGATACGCCACGCGTCGCGCTCTCGATTGCGTCACTCGGCGCGCTGGAGGCGTCACGCGTCGCGCCCGATGACGCAGCCCGTCGCGCCCGATGACGCAGCCCGTCGCGCCCGATGACGTGTCCGCGGCGGCGGCGGCGGCGGGGCCGGGATGCACCGGCGGGGGGTGGGGGCGGGGGCGATCGCCCGGAAGAAACTGACCGAGGTCACCGGGATGGGGGACAGGGGACACGGGACAGGGAACGGGACAGAGGGCCGGGGACAGGGAACGGGACAGGGAACGGGACAGACGGCGGGGGACAGGGGGACACGGGACAGGGAACGGGGACACGGGACAGGGGACAGGGAACGGGACAGGGAACGGGACAGAGGGCGGGGGACAGGGAACGGGACAGAGGGCGGGGGACAGACCGCGGGACAGGGGACAGGGACTGGGGACAGGGGACAGGGAACGGGACAGAGGGACACGGGACGGGGGACAGGGAACGGGACAGACCGCGGGACAGGGGACACGGGACAGACCGAGGGACGGCAGCGCAGCGGGGCCCGGAGGGGTCGGGGCTCGGTCCGGGGCGGTGGGAGCTGTGAGGGGACCCCCAGAGCCCCGGCCCGGGGAGCGGGGCCAGAGCCCACGGGGAGAAACTCCGGCCGGGGATGGGCGGTTCGGGGTCCTTTGAGTTTGGGATTCTCTGAGTCCGGGATTGTCTCGGTCCGGGGCTGTCCCGGTTCGGGGCTGTCCCGGTCCGGGGCTGTCCCGGTCCGGGGCTGTCCCATCCCGGCCGTGCCCTCACGCTCTGTCCCCCCAGGCCAAGTACAAGGAGCGCGGCACGGTCCTGGCTGAGGATCAGCTGGCCCAGGTGGGAATTCCCTCCCTGGCCTCGGGGTCCCCCTTCCCTGTCCCATCCCTGTGTCCCAGCCCCTACTGTCCTTGTGTCCCTGTGTCCCATGTCCGTCTGTCTGTCCCAGATGTCGAAGCAGCTGGAGACGTTCCGGACGCACCTGCAGGCCTTTGCCAGCAAGCACAAGCAGGAGATCCGGCGCAGCCCCGAGTTCCGGCTGCAGTTCCAGCACATGTGCGCCGCCATCGGCGTCGACCCGCTGGCCTGTGAGCACGGACAGACGGCGGGACAGACAGGGGGGACAATGGGGGGGATAGCAGGGGGGATAATGGGGGGAGATAGCAGGGGGGGATAATGGGGGGGAACATGAGGGGAATGGGAGAATAATGGGGGAACAATGGGGGGACAGGTGGGGAGAATGGGGGGACAATGGGAGCAGAATGGGGGAATAACGGGGGGACAGTGGGGGGGACAATGGGGGACAATGGGGGAATAGTAGGGGAACAATGGGGGGACAGGTGGGGGGACAAGGAGGGATAACAGGGGACAGCAGGGGGACAATAAGGGGGATAGCAGGGGGGACAGTGGAGGGGATAGCAGGGGGACAATGGGGGGGGACAGCAGGGGGATAATGGGGGAGCAGGAGGGGAATGGGGGAATAACGGGGGGACAGGTGGGGGGACAAGGAGGGATAACAGGGGACAGCAGGGGGACAATGAGGGGGACAGCAGGGGGACAGTGGAGGGGACAGTGGGGAGAACGGGGACACAACGGGAGTGGAATGGGGGAATAACGGGGGGACATTGGGGGGACAGGAGGGGAGACAAGGGGGGGATAATGGGGACAGCAGGGGGACAATGGGGGGGATAGCAGGGGGACAATGGGGGGGACAGCTGGGAGAACGGGGACACAACGGGAGCGGAATGGGGGAATAACGGGGGGGACATTGGGGGGAATAACGGGGGGACATTGGGGGGACAGGTGGGGGGACAAGGAGGGATACAGGGGACAGCAGGGGGACAATGTGGGGGGACAGAGGGGAATGGGGAATAACGGGGGGATAATGGGGAGACAAGGGACAGCACGGGGACAGAATGGGGGGAATGGGGGATATGGGAGGGGAATGGGGGAATAACAGGGGACACCAGGGGACAATGGGGACACCAGGGGACAATGGGGGCAGCAGGGACACACCGGGGTGGGCTCGGGTTAGGGTCAGAGCTCTGTCCCTGTCCCCCCCCAGCTGGAAAGGGGTTCTGGGCCGAGGTGCTCGGGGTTGGAGATTTCTACTACGAGCTGGGGGTGCAGAATCATCGAGGTGTGCCTGGCCCTGCGGCACCGCAACGGAGGTGGGCACGGGGGTGGGCACGGGGGTGGGCACGGGGAGCCACTGATCCCAGAGATCCTGCCCTGGTCCCAGAGATCCACCCCTGATCCCAGGATCCATCCCTGATCCCAGGATCCACCCCTGATCCCAGGATCCCTCCCCGATCCCATCACTCTGTGGGAGCAGGGAACAATCCCAGGGATCCCGGCCATCTCCAGAGGATTGGGATTTCCAGTGGGGAAGTTCTTCATCCCAAAAGGGCAATTCACACCGGGAGTGGGCCTGAAGCCCATAACACCCATGAATCCCATTAAAATCCAAAAAAAATCTCGTAAAAATCCCGTAAAACCCATAAATCCTACAAAAATCTCCCCCGAAAAAATCCCATAAAATCTCAAAAAAGTCCCTAAAAATCCCCCCAAAAATCCCATAAAATCTCAAAAAAAAAAATCCCTAAAAAACCCCCCAAAAATCCCATAAAATCTCAAAAAAAAATCCCCCAAAAACCCCATAAAATCTCAAAAAAAAAAAATCCCCCAAAAATCCCATAAAATCTCAAAAAAAAATCCCTAAAAATCCCCCCAAAAATCCCATAAAATCTAAAAAGAAAAAAATCCCCCAAAAGTCCCATAAAATCTCAAAAAAAATCCCTAAAAATCCCCCCAAAAATCCCATAAAATCTCAAAGAAAAATCCCCCAAAAATCCCATAAAATCTCAAAAAAAAAATCCCTAAAAATCCCCCCAAAAATCCCATAAAATCTCAAAGAAAAATCCCCCAAAAATCCCATAAAATCTCAAAAAAAAAATCCCTAAAAATGCCCAAAAAGTCCCATAAAAAAACCCGAAAAATCCCCGAAAAGTCCCGTAAAAAACCCAAAAAAAATCCCCGAAAAGTCCCATAAAAAACCCAAAAAAATCCTGAAAAATCCCAAAAAATCCCATAAAAAACCCCCTAAAAATCCCCGAAAAACCCCAAAAAAGCCCCCTGAGATGCCAGCCTGGGCTCTGCTGCAGGGCTGATCACGCTGGAGGAGCTGCAGGCCCAGGTGCTCAAGGGCCGCGGGAAATTCGCTCAGGACGTCAGCGCGTGAGTGCGGCCGGGAATTCCCGGGAAAACCTCGAAAATTCCTGGGAAAACCTTGGGAACTCCCGGGAAAACCTCGGGAATTCCTGGGAAAACCTCGAAAATTCCTGGGAAAACCTCGGGAGTTCCTGGGAAAACCTCGGGAATTCCTGGGAAAGCCTCGGGAATTCCCGGGAATCCCTGCGGGGTCGGGGGCGGGAATCCCTTGGGAAACCCTCAGGAATCTTTGGGGAACCCCTGGGGAGGCCAGGGCTGCAGTTCCAGCTGTTCCAGCTGTTCCAGCTGTTCCAGCTGTTCCAGGCCCACAGCTGCAGCTGCACCCAGAGCTCTGCTGCTGCTCCTGCTGCTCCTGGGATGGTTTTTCCCTAAAATCCAACCCCAAGATGGTTTTTCCCTAAAAGTCCAACCCCAGTAGGATTTTTCCCTAAAATCCAACCCCAGGATGGTTTTCCTCTAAAAAATCCAACCCCATGAGGATTTTTCCCTTACAAATCCAACCCCATGAGGATTTTTCCCCATGAGTCCAACCCCTGGATGGTTTTCCCCTAAAAATCCAATCCCAGGATGGTTTTCCCCTAAAAAAATCCAATCCCAGGATGCCTTTTCCCCTAAAATCCAGTCCCTGGATGGTTTTTCCCTAAAAGTCCAACCCCAGGATGGTTTTTCCCTAAAAACTCCAACCCCTGGATGATTTTCCCCCATAAATCCAACCCCAGGATGATTTTTTCCCCCCAAATCCAACCCCAGGGTGATTTTTCCCCTACAAACCCAACCGTAGGATGATTTTTCCTTAAAAAATCCAACCCTAGAGGATTTTGCCCTAAAAGCAACCACAGGAGAATTTTTCCCCTAAAATCCAATCTCGGGAGGATTTTCCCCCACAAATCCCAGCCCAGGATTATTTCCCCCACAAATCCAACCCAGGATTATTTTTCCCCCACAAATCCAGTCCTGGGAGGATTTTCCCCCACAAATCCAACCCCAGGATTATTTTCCCCACAAATCCAACCCCAGGATTATTTTTCCCCCACAAATCCAATCCAGGATTATTTTCCCCACAAATCCAACCCAGGATTATTTTTCCCCCACAAATCCAACCCAGGATTATTTTTCCCCCACAAATCCAACCCCAGGATGATTTTCCCCACAAATCCACCCCCGTGAGGATTTTCCCACTGCAGCTGAGGAAGGGCCCCCCCAATCCCACCCCAATCCCATTTTTAGCCCAAACCTCCCATTTTTGGGGCTGAGCCCCCCAGGGCCGCCCAGGCGCCAAAACCCCGAATCCCTGGATGGGATCAATTCCCGTTTTTTGGGGTCATTCCCAGGATGTGGAACAGCCTGGGGAGCCCCTTTGGGGGGTGTGTGTGTCCCCAGGGATGATCTGCTCCGGGCCATCAGGAAGCTGAAGGTGCTGGGCAGCGGATTTGGGATCATCCCCGTGGGGGGAACGGTGCTGGTGCAGTCGGTGCCGGCCGAGCTGAGCATGGAGCACACGGTGGTGCTGCAGCTGGCCGAGGTGGGATTGGACTGGGAATGAACTGGGAATGGACTGGGAATGCACTGGGAATGGACTGGGAATGAACTGGGAATACTGGGAATGGACTGGGAATGAACTGGGAATGAACTGGGAATGAACTGGGAATACTGGGAATGGACTGGGAATGAACTGGGAATACTGGGAGAACATGGAGCACACGGTGGTGCTGCAGCTGGCCGAGGTGGGAATGCACTGGGAATGAACTGGGAATGGACTGGGAATGGACTGGGAATGGACTGGGAATGAACTGGGAATGGACTGGGAATGGACTGGGAATGGACCACACGGTGGTGCTGCAGCTGGCCGAGGTGGGAATGCACTGGGAATGGACTGGGAATACTGGGAATGGACTGGGAATGGCTGAGCATGGAGCACACGGTGGTGCTGCAGCTGGCTGAGGTGGGAATGCACTGGGAATACTGGGAATGGACTGGGAATGGGATTGGGAAAACATGGACCACACGGTGGTGCTGCAGCTGGCCGAGGTGGGATTCACTGGGAATGGACTGGGAATACTGGGAATGAACTGGGAATAGTGGGAAAACACGGAGCACACGGTGGTGCTGCAGCTGGCCGAGGTGGGAATGCACTGGGAATACTGGGAATACTGGGAATAGTGGGAATGGGATTGGGAAAACATGGAGCACACGGTGGTGCTGCAGCTGGCCGAGGTGGGATTCACTGGGAATATTGGGAATGGACTGGGAATATTGGGAATGAACTGGGATTGAGAATGGGATTGGGAAAACATGGAGCACACAGTGGTGCTGCAGCTGGCCGAGGTGGGAATGCACTGGGAATGGACTGGGAATGAACTGGGAATACTGGGAATGGCTGAGCAGGGAGCACATGGTGGTGCTGCAGCTGGCCGAGGTGGGAATGCACTGGGAATACTGGGAATACTGGGAATACTGGGATTGGGAATGGACTGGGAATGGACTGGGAATGAACTGGAAACACTGGGAATGGGATTGGGAACGGGACTGGCACCTGGGAATGGGGAGTTGGTGCTTCCAGGACTGGGAACTGGGATTGGATCCGGCTCATGGGCAAAGCTGAAATGTGGATTTAAACCTGGATGCAAAGAGCCGGGAATTTCTGGCGTTTCCATAAAAATCCGGGATGAGAGCCAAGGGTCCCCGCTCTGCTGCACCCTGGGTGAGGCTCAGAGGGATTTTTCCTGGTTTTTCCTGGTTTTCTTTCCCCAGAAAAAGGGATTTGTGACCGTCAGCGAGATCCGGGACAGCCTCAAGTGGGAGACGGAGAGAGCGAAGCAGGTGCTGGTAGGTGGGACTGGGAATACTGGGAATGGAAACTGGGGATACTGGGAATGGAAACTGGGGATACTGGGAATGGGGATGGGAAACTGGGAATGGAAACCGGGGATACTGGGAATGGGAATGGGAAACTGGGAATGGGAAACTGGGAATGGGAAAATGGGAATGGGAACTTGGGAACAGCAACAGCAACTCAGCACATCCCAGTCCATCCCCAGTCATTCCCAGTTCCATTCCCATTCCCAATCCCATTTTTCCCAATCCCATTTTTCCCGTTCCAGGATCACCTGCTGAAGGAGGGCCTGGCCTGGCTGGATCCCAGTGCCATTCCCAATCCCATTTTTCCCATTTTTTTCCCATTTTTCCATGCAGGATCACCTGCTGAAGGAGGGCATGGCCTGGCTGGACGCGCAGGCTCCGGCCGAGCCTCAGTTCTGGCTCCCCGCGCTCTTCTCGGAGCTGCACGGGCAGGAGGGCACAGCCGGGACCTGAGGGCCCCGGAGAGCCGGGAATAACCCTGGGATATCCGGGAATAACCCATGGGATATCTGGGAATAACCCATGGGATATCCGGGAATAACCCCTGGGATATCTGGGAATAACCCATGGGATATCTGGGAATAACCCATGGGATACCCGGGAATAACCCTGGGATACCCGGGAATAACCCCTGGGATACCTGGGAATAACCCTGGGATACCCGGGAATAACCCCTGGGATACCCGGGAATAACCCTGGGATATCCGGGAATAAACCCCTGGGATATCCGGGAATAACCCTGGGATACCTGGGAATAACCCCTGGGATACCTGGGAATAACCCCTGGGATACCCAGGAATCCCTCCCAGGATCTTCAGGAATCCCCCCTGGGATCATTCCTGGAGCCCTCAGGAATCCCAGCTGGAATCCCTGCCAGGATCCTCGGGAATCCGTCCTGGAATCCTCAGGAATCCCAGCTGGAATCCCCTCTGGAGTCCCAGGAATCCTGTCTGGAATCCCCTCTGGAACCCTTGGGAATCCCCCCCTGGAATCCTGGCGGGAATCCCTCCCAGGGTTCTTGGGAATCCCCCCTGGAATCCTCGGGAATCCCTCCCAGGATCCTCAAGGAATCTCCCCTTGAATCCCTCCTGGAGTCCTTGGGAATCCCCCCTGGAATCCTCAGGAATCCCAGCTCAAATTCCCCCCAGGATCCTCAGGAATCCCTGCTGGAATCCCTGGGGAATCCCCCCTGGAATCTCTGGGAATCCCCCCTGGAATCCCTGGGGATCTCCCCTGGAATCCTGTCTGGAGTCCTCGGGAATTCCCCCCAGGATCCTCAGGAATCTCCCCTTGAACCCCTCCTGGAGTCCTTGGGAATCTCAGCTGGAATCCTCAGGAATCCCAGCTCGAATCCTCAGAATCCCAGCTTGAATTCCCTCCAGGATCCTCAGGAATCCCCTCAGGATCCTCAGGAATCCCCCCTGGAATCCCTGGGGAATCCCCCCTGGAATTCCTGGGAATCCCCCCTGGAATCCTGGGAATCCCCCCCTGGGATCCCTGGGGATCCCCCCTGGAATCCTGGGAATCCCCCCTGGAATCCCTGGGAATCCCCCCTGGAATCCCTGGGAATCCCCCCTGGAATCCCCGCTGGAATCCCTGGAATTCCCCCCTGGAATCCCTGGAATTCCCCCCTGGGATCCCTGCCTGGTCCCTCCTGTCCCTGCCATCCCGGGCTCGGCAGCGCTGGGAATAAAAGTTTTGTACCAAATTCCTGAGTTTGGGGAATTCTGTGGGATCGGCCCCCGCTGGAATCGCTGCGGCTTTGGGTGGAAATGCCCCAGATTGGGGAAAATGAGGGAAAGGGGCCGAGGGTGGAACCTTGGGAGGATTTGCAGCGGGAAATGGGATTGGGAAAACTGGGAAAGCTGGGAAAACTGGGAAAACTGGGAAAGCCGCCCTGGGGCGTTGCCATTCCATGAGAATTCCCACTGAGGAACACCGCGGGCTCCATTCTGCCAAAACAAAACTTTATTGCACAAAGAAAAAACCAAAAAAAAAAAGAGAAAACCTCCTCCCCCCCAAAAAAAAAAACAAAAAAAAAACCTCCCCCCAAAAACCAACCCCAAACCAAAAAAAAAATAAAATGGGAATTATTATTGGAATTCTTCTGTACAACAGAAACCAGCAGAGATCTGCCAGGGCCTCGAGTGCATTTTTTATTTTTTGTTTTCCAGCTCCATTCCAGGCCCTACAATTCCGTTTGCTCCAAGGTCCCTGGGGCCGGGGAGGGACCCGGAATTCCCAGCCCTGGGAATGCTGGGAAGGCTCCCAGCCCTGCCTGGGGGGACACGGGGGACACGGGGAGGGGGTGGCAGCTCGGCCTCCCCTCGAGGGTTAAACCCAAACCAGAGTTTGGGAAAAGCACGGGAATGTCCCCATTGCCCACCTGGAAAATTCCCCGTTTCCTACCAAGGAAATTCCCCCATTTCCAACCAGAAAAAATTCCCATTTAATTCCCCATTTCCAACCTGGAAAATTCCTCATTTCCTACCAAGGAAATTCCCCATTTCCCACCAGAAAAATTCCTCATTTCCAACCAGAAAAATTCCTCATTTCCAACCAGGAAAATTCCTCATTTCCCACCAGGGAAATTCCTCATTTCCAACCAAGAAAATTCCCATTTCTCACCTGGAAAATTCCCATTTCCCACCTGGAAAATTCCCATTTCTCACCAGAAAAATTCCTCATTTCCAACCAGGAAAATTTCCCACCTGGAAAATTCCCATTTCCAACCAGAAAAATTCCTCATTTCCAACCAGGAAATTCCTCATTTCCTACCAAGGAAATTCCCCATTTCCAACCAGAAAAATTCCCATTTCCCACCTGAGAAATTCCTCATTTCTCACCTGGAAAATTCCCATTTCCCACCTGGAAAATTCCCCATTTCCCACCTGGAAAATTCCCAATTTCCCACCTGGAAAATACCTCATTTCAACCAGGAAAATTCCCATTTCTCACCTGGAAAATTCCTCATTTCCAACCAGGAAAATTCGTCATTTCCAACCAGGAAAATTCCCCATTTCCCACCTTCCTGCTGCTGCTGCAATCCCAAATAATCCCAGGGGGGATTTGTGGGATTTGGGCTCCTCCTGCCCCTCGGGATGAGGATCCAAGCTGGGGAGTTCTCCCAGCACCAGCAGGATCCAAACTGGGCTGAACTGGTGTGGAGGGCAGCATTTGGGGCAGGATTTGGGGCAGGATTTTGGGCAATTTTGGGCAGGGTTTCGGGCAATTTTAGGCAGGATTTTGGGCAATTTTGGGCAGGATTTTGGGCCATTTTGGGCAGCATTTTGGGCAGCATTTTGGGCAATTTTAGGCAGGATTTTGGGCAATTTTGGGCAATTTTGAGCAGGATTCTGGGCAATTTTGGGCAGGATTTTGGGCAATTTTAGGCAGCATTTTGGGCCATTTTGGGCAGGATTTTGGGCCATTTTGGGCAGGATTTTGGGCCATTTTGTGTCCCTACAATGCAAAGTGAAACCTGGAGCTCCTGCTCACCCCAGCCCCAGTGGGAATTGTCACCTGCAGCTGGGCTGGGGGTGGCACTGCCACCTCCCCGTGTCACCCACAGCGCCCAGCCCGCTCCCAGCAGCCCCGGGCTCCCAGAAATTCCCAATTCCATGAAAGGCAAAGGGGTTTGTCCCAGAGCCCAGCTGGGATCGTCCCCGTGGGCTGGCACAGGGAGGGAGGGACAGGAGGGGACATCGGCGGTGACACCGAGCCAAGGCGGGAAGCAGAGAATTCCAGGTGAGGAAGGAACGGCTCCAGCAGGAGAAAACCCCTCCTGAAAGGCTCAAATTCGATATTGCAGAAAGAAACAAACTGATCTGAGCGCTCCCTCCTCATCCTCCTCATCCTCCCCCTGCCCAAACCTCCAGGGCGAGCAAATCCATGGATTCCTGCAGTTCCCACTTGGCACATGAAGTCTCCAAAGGGCCCCGGGGCTCCAGTAAAGCTTTGGGGCAAGGAGCCCCAGTTCCAGCAGTGAGAATTCCTTTATCTTTGGTCTGCCTAGAAGAAAGACACCAGGGAGGCCCAGCTCTCCCAAACTCCACCTGGACGCGGCCTGGGCGACCCAAGCGCTCCCACAGCTCCAGGGAAAGGCTCCCTCCCTGCCCAGGAGCACAAAAGCTCTCAAGGATTTGCAGTCTAGAGCTCATTCTTTAATCGAACGGAGGGAAAAAAAAATAAAAACCTGGAAAAAAAAATCAAACAAAAAAAAAAAAACAAAAAAAAAAACCAAAAAAACCAAAAGAACCCCAGCCAGTGTAGGTGTCGTCCAAAAAACCCCAAAAACAACCTGATGCCACATGCCAGGAAGTACCTTTGTCCAAGAGGAGCCTGTCCCGAGCTGGGCTTTGTCTCTTTTTTGGGAATTCTCCTCGGGGAATCCTCGGGGTGGAGGCAGGGATGGAGGGAGGAGCCCGCGGCTCTCCCCGCCCCGGCCCGGCTGTGCCGCCGCAGTCCCGGCCGGGCCGGGCCCTCCTAGGCCCGGGGGCAGCCCTGGGGCTCGGGCTCGGGCTCCGAGGAGCTGCTCTCCGAGTCCATCTCGGCGCTGTCCTGCTGCTGCTGCTGCTGCTGCTGCCGCTCCTGCAGCCGCGCCCGCAGCGCCTGCAGCCGCCCCAGCAGCGCCTGGTAATCAAAGTGCCCGCGCTTCTCCCCAAAAGGGTCCTGGAAAGGGAATAAATGGACAGGGGTGAGGGGGAAAAGGGGGAAAATGGACAGGGGTGAGGGGGAAAGGGGAAAATGGACAGGGGGGGAGAGGGGGAACTGACAGGGGTGAGGGGGGAAAGGGGAAAATGGACAGGGGGGAAGAGGGAAAGGGGAAAAATGGACAGGGGAAAGGGGAAAATGGACAGGGGTGAGGGGGGAAAGGGGGAAAATGGACAGGGGAGAAGAGGGAAAGGAAATAAATGGACAGGGGTGAGAGGGAAAGGGAGAAATGGACAGGGGGGAGAGGGGGAAAAGGGGGAAAAATGGACAGGGGTGAGGGGGGAAAGGGGAATAAACAGACAGGGGTGAGGGGAAAAGGGGAATAAACGGACAGGGGTGAGGGGGAAAGGGGGAAAATGGACAGGGGGAGAGGGGGAAAGGGGGAAAATGGACAGGGGGGAGAGGGGAAAAGGGGGAAAACTGAGAGGGGGAAGAGGGGGAAAAGGGGGGAAATGGACAGGGGGGAGAGGGGAAAGGGGAGAAATGGACAGGGGTGAGGGGGAAAGGGGAAATAAAGGGACAGGGGGAGAGGGAAAGGGGGAAAATGGACAGGGGTGAGGGGGGAAAACTGACAGGAGTGAGGGGAAAAAGGGGAATAAACAGACAGGGGTGAGGGGGGAAAAGGGGAAAATGGACAGGGTGAGAGGGGAAAGGGGAGAAATGGACAGGGGGGGAGAGGGGAAAGGGGAAATAAAGGGACAGGGGTGAGGGGGGAAAAGGGGAAAACTGACAGGGGTGAGGGGGGAAAGGGGAATAAACAGACAGGGGTGAGGGGAAAAAGTGAATAAACGGACAGGGGTGAGGGGGGAAAGGGGAAATAAAGGGACAGGGGTGAGGGGGGGAAAGGGAAATAACCGGACAGGGGTGAGGGGGAAAAGGGGAATAAACGGACAGGGGTGAGGGGTGGGGGGGCTCTGGGAGAGGGGACGGGGAGAATTCCACAGGGAAATCCCAGCCTGGGGGGAGAGGATGATGACTGGGAAGGATCCTGAAATTCCCCTGAACAGGACCTTTGATTTCCTCCAGGACAGGATCCTGAAATTCCCTCTGTCTCCTCAAATTCCCCCTGGACAGGATCCTGAAATTCCCCTGGACAAGATCCTGAAACTCCCCCTGGAGAACGTGGATCCCATCCCTGAATTGCCCCAGTGCTGCACATCTGTCCAGGCACATCTGTCCAGGCTCAGCCCCATGCCCAGCTGTGCCCCACATGTGTCCCCAGCTGTGCCCCAGCTGTGTCCCCAGCTGTGTCCCCAGCTGTGCCCCCCTCACCTGCATGGTCTGGCCCTGCAGGTGCAGCCTCTCCTTGCAGACGCCCTCGTAGAAGTCCAGGTACTCCATGAAGGATTTCTCCATCACACCCCTGGGGACAGACAGGGGACACCACGGTCACCATGGCCCGTGGGGACACAGGGGGGCCACCCCTGTCCTGCTGGCACGGCCTGGGCAGGGACAGAGACAGGGAGGGGACAGAGCCCAGGGAGGGGACAGAGCCCAGGGAGGGGACAGAGACAGGGGAGGGACAGAGCCAGGACAGGGACAGAGCCCAGGGAGGGGACAGAGCCCAGGGAGGGGACAGAGCCAGGACAGGGACAGAGCCAGGGAGGGGACAGAGCCAGGGAGGGGACAGAGCCAGGGAGGGGACAGAGCCCAGGGAGGGGACAGAGACAGGGAGGGGACAGAGACAGGGCAGGGACAGAGCCAGGGGAGGGGACAGAGCCCAGGGAGGGGACAGAGACAGGGAGGGGACAGAGACAGGGAGGGGACAGAGCCCAGGGCAGGGACAGGGACAGGGCAGGGACAGAGCCCAGGGAGGGGACAGAGCCAGGGAGGGGACAGAGACAGGGAGGGGACAGAGCCCAGGGCAGGGACAGAGACAGGGCAGGACAGAGCCCAGGGCAGGGACAGAGCCCAGGGCAGGGACAGAGCCAGGGAGGGGACAGGGACAGGGCAGGGACAGAGCCCAGGGCAGGGACAGAGCCAGGACAGGACAGAGCCCAGGGAGGGGACAGAGCCCAGGGAGGGGACAGGGACAGGGCAGGGACAGAGCCCAGGACAGGGACAGAGCCCAGGGAGGGGACAGAGCCCAGGGCAGGGACAGAGCCCAGGGAGGGGACAGAGCCCAGGGAGGGGACAGGGACAGGGCAGGGACAGAGCCCAGGGCAGGGACAGAGCCCAGGGCAGGGGACAGAGCCAGGGCAGGGACAGAGCCCAGGGAGGGGACAGAGACAGGGGAGGGACAGAGCCCAAGGAGGGGACAGAGCCCAGGGAGGGGACAGAGCCCAGGGCAGGGACAGAGCCAGGGCAGGGGAAAGAGCCCAGGGCAGGGACAGAGCCAGGACAGGGACAGAGCCAGGACAGGGACAGAGCCCAGGGCAGGGGACAGAGCCCAGGGCAGGGACAGAGCCCAGGGCAGGGACAGAGCCAGGACAGGGACAGAGCCCAGGGCAGGGGACAGAGCCCAGGGCAGGGACAGAGCCCAGGGCAGGGACAGAGCCAGGGCAGGGACAGAGCCCAGGGCAGGGACAGAGCCAGGGCAGGGACAGAGCCAGGACAGGGACAGAGCCCAGGGAGGGGACAGAGCCCAGGGAGGGGACAGAGCCCAGGGAGGGGACAGAGCCCAGGGAGGGGACAGACAGGGCAGGGACAGAGCCAGGGCAGGGACAGAGCCCAGGGAGGGGACAGAGCCCAGGACAGGGACAGAGCCCAGGGAGGGGACAGAGCCCAGGGCAGGGACAGAGACAGGGAGGGGACAGAGCCCAAGGAGGGGACAGAGCCCAGGGCAGGGACAGAGCCCAGAGAGGGGACAGAGCCCAGGGAGGGGACAGAGCCCAGGGAGGGGACAGAGCCCAGGGAGGGGACAGACAGGGCAGGGACAGAGCCAGGGCAGGGACAGAGCCCAGGGAGGGGACAGAGCCCAGGACAGGGACAGAGCCCAGGGCAGGGACAGAGACAGGACAGGGACAGAGCCCAGGGAGGGGACAGAGCCCAGGGCAGGGACAGAGCCCAGGGAGGGGACAGAGCCCAGGACAGGGACAGAGCCCAGGGCAGGGACAGAGACAGGGCAGGGACAGAGCCCAGGGAGGGGACAGAGCCCAGGGAGGGGACAGAGCCCAAGGAGGGGACAGAGCCCAGGGCAGGGACAGAGCCCAGGGCAGGGACAGAGCCCAGGGAGGGGACAGAGCCCAGGGAGGGGACAGAGCCCAGGGAGGGGACAGAGCCCAGGGCAGGGGACAGAGCCCAGGGCAGGGGACAGAGACAGGGCAGGGACAGAGACAGGGCAGGGACAGAGCCCAGGGAGGGGACAGAGCCAGGGAGGGGACAGAGACAGGGAGGGGACAGAGCCAGGGAGGGGACAGACTCCCCCAGTGTCTCACTGTACCCAGGGGCTCGGGGCAGGGGCACTTTCCCCCCACTGTCCTCATGTCCCCAGTGTCCCCATGCCCCTGGTGTCCCCCCAGTGTCCCCCTGTCCCCGTGTCCGTACCGCAGGGGCTTGGGGCAGGGGCACTTTCCCCCACTGTCCCCAATGTCCCCAGTGTCCCCAATGTCCCCATGCCCCCAGTGTCCCCCCAGTGTCCCCCTGTCCCCGTGTCCGTACCGCAGGGGCTCGGGGCAGGGGCACTTTCCCCCCGGTGTCCCCAATGTCCCCAGTGTCCCCAGTGTCCCCATGCCCCTGGTGTCCCCCCAGTGTCCCCAGTGTCCCCATGCCCCCGGTGTCCCCCCAGTGTCCCCCTGTCCCCGTGTCCGTACCGCAGGGGCTCGGGGCAGGGGCACTTTCCCTCCAGCATGTCACACACGGCCACGCGGATGGTCTCGTGCCGGATGCACTCGTTGTAGTTCTTGCTGTCCCCGGGGTGCCGCTCCTGGGGACACGGAGCGTCAGCACAGGGCAGAGCCCGGCCTAACCAGGCCTGACCTGTCCAGGGCCCAGTTCCAGGCTGGGATCCCAGTTAAATCCAGGCTCGGATCCCAGTTAAATCCAGGCTGGGATCCCAGTTAATTCCCAGCCTGCAATCCCAGCCAGTTCCAGCCTGGAACTTCAGTCCCAGCCTGTAATCCAGTTCCAGGCTGGGTTCCCAGTCAGCTCCAGCCTGCAATCCCAGTCAGTTCTAGGCTGCAATACCAGTTAGTCCCAGCCTGCAATCCCAGTTCTAGGCTGGGTTCCCAGTCAGTTCCAGGCTGGGTTCCCAATCAACTCCAGCCTGCAATCCCAGTCAGTCCCAGCCTGCAATCCCAGTCCCAGCCTGGGTTCCCAGTCAGTCCAAGCCTGTATCCCAGTCAGTCCCAGCCTGTAATCCCAGTCCCAGCCCGTATCCCAGTCAGTCCCAGCCTGCAATCCCAGTCAGTCCCAGTCTGTAATCCCAGTTCCAGGCTGCAATCCCAGTCCCAGCCCGGGTTCCCAGCTGGTCCCAGCCCAGCCTGACCTGCTCGAAGCCGGGCTCGTTGTGGTAGGGGTTCTCTGTCATCAGGGACTGGATGGAGATCAGCACTGACGAGATGCTCTGGGCCGGGCTCCAGGCCGGGCCTGTCCACGTGCTGGGCCAATTAACTGAGTCACTAATTAACCAGCAGCACTGTCCCCCCCCACAGCAGAACCCAGGAACCCAGGGAGCACAGCTGGGCCTGACCCTGGCACCTCAGCTGGGCCTGAACTTCCCCAGCACGGCCTAAACTGCGCTGTCCTTCTGTCCGTGCTCAGCCGGGAGCAAGAGCCTGAGCTCAGCCTTGCCCTAGGCCCAGCTTACCCCAGGACGCTGAGGCAGCCCCTAGGCCCAGCTTACCCCAGGACGCTGAGGCAGCCCCTAGGCCCAGCTTACCCCAGGATGCTGAGGCAGCCCCTTAGGCCCAGCTTACCCCAGGATGCTGAGGCAGCCCCTAGGCCCAGCTTACCCCAGGATGCTGTGGCACATCTTTAAACCCAGCTTACCCCAGGATGCTGAGGCAGCCCCTAGGCCCAGCTTACCCCAGGACGCTGAGGCAGCCCTTTAGGCCCAGCTTACCCCAGGATGCTGAGGCAGCCCCTAGGCCCAGCTTACCCCAGGATGCTGAGGCAGCCCCTAGGCCCAGCTTACCCCAGGATGCTGAGGCAGCCCTTTAGGCCCAGCTTACCCCAGGATGCTGAGGCAGCCCCTAGGCCCAGCTTACCCCAGGATGCTGAGGCAGCCCCTAGGCCCAGCTTACCCCAGGATGCTGAGGCAGCCCTAGGCCCAGCTTACCCCAGGATGCTGAGGCAGACCTTGCCGTTGCGGTAGAAGTTGGGGTTGAACCTGACGGTGTTGTTGCCCGTGGTCATGAGCTTGACGCGGGGCGGGTGGATGGGGTAATCGGGCGGGCAGCGGAACAGGAACAGGAAGAAGCCGCCCTCGTAGGGGGTGTCGAACGGGCCCGTGATCAGCGCGTGGATCTGCGGGGACACCCCAGCCCTGCGGCGTTCCCGGATCCTCCCGAGCTCCCAAACCCTTCAGGGTTCCCAAACCCTTTGGGGCTCCCAGCCCTGCGGCGTTCCCGGATCCTCCCGAGCTCCCAAACCCTTCAGAGCTCCCAAACCCTGCAGCGTTCCCAAACCCTCTGGGGCTCCCAAACCCTCTGGGGCTCCCAAACCCTGTGGCATTCCCGGATCCTCCAAAGTTCCCAAACCCTCTGGGGCTCCCAAACCCTTTGGGGCTCCCAGCCCTGCGGCGTTCCCGGATCCTCCAGAGTTCCCAAACCCTCTGGGGCTCCCAAACCCTACAGAGTTCCCAAACCCTCCAGGGTTCCCAAACCCTGCGGCGTTCCCAAACCCTCCAGAGTTCCCAAACCCTCTGGGACTCCCAAACCCTACAGAGTTCCCAAACCCTCTGGGGCTCCCAAACCTGCGGCGTTCCTGGATCCTCCAGAGCTCCCAAACCCTCTGGGACTCCCAAACCCTGTGGCGTTCCCCGACCCTCCACAGCTTCAGCACTCCCAGACCCTGTGGCATTCCTGACCCTTCCAGGGCTCCCAAACCCTGCGGCATTCCGAGCCCTGTGGCGCTCCCCAATCCCCCAGAGTTCCTGAATCCTCCAGCATTCCCAGACCCTCCATGGCTCCAGCATTCCCAAACCCTTCAGAGTTCCCAAACCCTCCAGAGTTCCCAAACCCTTCAGAGTTCCCAAACCCTGCAGCATTCCTGAACCCTCCATCATTCCCGAGCCCTGTGGTGCTCCCAAACCCTCTGGAGTTCCCAAACCCTCTGGAGTTCCCAAATCCTCCAGAGTTTCCAAACCCTCTGGTGCTCCCAGACCCTCCATGACTCCAGAGTTCCCAGACCCTCCCACATTCCCAGACCCTCCATGGCTCCAGCATTTCCCAAACTCTCCAGCGTTCCCAAACCCTCCATGGCTCCAGCATTTCCCAAACTCTCCAGCGTTCCCAAACCCTCCATGGCTCCAACATTCCCAAACCCCCCAGCATTCCCAGACCCCCCAGCATTCCCAGACCCCTGGATCCCACCCCCATCCCGGGAATCCGGGCCCTGCCCAGGGCGATTCCAGCCGGGGTTTGGGGACGGGAGCACCCGAGGGTTCCTTCACCTTGGTCATGTCGTGGGGGTCGGGCACCACGAACATCCCCGGGGGCGGCTCCTTGTAGATGGACATGATATCCCTGGGAAAGGGAAACGGGAATGAGCCGGGAATGGGCCGGGAATGGCCGGGAATTGGCCGGGAATGGGCCGGGAATGGGCTGGGAACGGGCCGGGAATGGGGATTTAAACCGGGAGTTAAAACCGGGACTGGGGAGCTTTGGTGCCGGCTCTGGGCGAGACCCTTGAGCTGAGCCCCAAAGGCAGCTCAGGCATTCCAGAGCACTCCCGGGAATCCTCGGGAATCCCAGCCGGAATCCCGGCTGGAACCCTCGGGAATCCGTGAGAATCCCAGCAGGAATCCTCAGGAATCATGACTGGAATCCTTGGGAATCATGGCCGGAATTCTCAGGAATCATGACTGGAATCCTTGGGAATCATGGCCGGAATTCTCAGGAATCATGACTGGAATGCCCCCTGGAATCCTCGGGAATCCCCCCTGGAATTTCCCCCATGGAATTTCCCCACCTCCAGCACCAGGAACTCCAATGAAACTGAAAATCCAACAAAGTTCCGGCCGTGAATTCCGCGGGGAGCTCGTCCCGGGTTCCCTCAGCTGAGGGGGGGGTTTCACCTCTCCCTGCCCGGCCTTTCCCGGGATATTCCCGGGATATTCCCGGGCCAGGAATTCCAGGGGATCCAGGCAGGAATTCCGAGGATATCCAGTCTGGGAATTCCCTGGGACAGAGCAAAGTGTCCCTGCCCAAGGACCCTCCCAACCCAAACCTCTATGGGAGAGCCCCGGGACACCGGGAAGGGCCGGGACCCGTGCCCGTGTTTGTCCCGGGACACCGGGAAGGGCCGGGACCCGTGCCCGTGTTTGTCCCGGGACACCGGGAAGGACCGGGACCCGTGCCCGTGTTTGTCCCGGGACACCGGGAAGGACCGGGACCCGTGCCCGTGTTTGTCCCGGGACACCGGGAAGGGCCGGGACCCGTTCCCGTGTTTGTCCCGGGACACCGGGAAGGACCAGGACCTGTCCCCGTGTTTGTCCCGGGACAGCGGCAGGGCCCGGCGCTGTCCCCAGGCCCGTGCCCGGTACCCGGTGCCCGGTGCGGCGCAGGGCCCGTTACCGGCCGCGGGGCCGAGCCGAACGCCCGCGCCGCGCTCCGTGCCCGGGCCCCGCGCTGCCGGTCCCGGTCCCGCTGCCGGTCCCGGTCCCGCTGCCCGTCCCGGTCCCGCTCCGCTCACCGTTTGATCCGCAGCAGGCAGGCCGGGCTGGGCCGCTCGCTGTCCCAGTCGCCGCTGACCGTGGGGTCCCAGAAGGCGGAGTGCGTGAGGAGCGCGGCCCCCGCCGCCGCCGCCGCCATCGGGGCGCCGCCGCTACCGGGGGCCACGCCGGTGCCGGGCGCCGCGGCCGCGCCGAAGCCCGCGGCCGCCCAGAGCTCGGCGGGGATGAACACGCCGGGGGTGCCCGCGGAGCCGGCGGCGCTGGGGGAGGCGCTGCCGCCGCCGCCCGCCGCCAGCACCGCGGCCGGGGCCGGGGCCGCGTCCTCGGCCGCCGGGCTCTCCGCCATTGCGGCCTCGGCCCGCGCCGCTTCCGGGACTCCGCACCACCGAGGCGCGCGGCCAGAGCGGCCCCGCGCCGCCCACGCTCCCCGCCCCCGGCACCACCGAGCGGCGGCGGGAGCGGCTCCTCCGCAAGGGGCGACGGGGAGGGAGACACCGCCACAGCGCCCCCTGGCGAGCGGGAGGCCCGGGGAGCCGGAGGGGGGAACGGGAAGTGGAGGGTTTGGGGAATTTGGGTTTTTTTGGGGAATTTGGGGTTTTGGAGAATTCTGGGTTTTGGGGGAATTTGGGGTTTTATGGGAACGGCGGGGTTATGGGAGCAAAAAGGGTGGGAAAATCCTCCGGGATCGGCCCTCGCCGGGGAACGGGCACGGCCCCGGGGCTGCTGGAGCTCCAAGAGCCTTTGGACAGCTCTGAGGGACGGCAGGGGGGGATTGGGGGGATCCGGCAGGGCCGGGATCATCCTGCGGGATCCTTTCCCATTCGGGATCATCCCGCGGGATCCTTTCCCATTCGGGATCATCCTGCGGGATCCTTTCCTGCCGGGATTCTCGCTGGTCCCAGGATCACCACACCCAACCACTGCTCACCGTGTCCCCAGGTGTCACCTCCCCTCTGGCTTTTGGCTCCTCCAGGGGCCTGGGCAGCTGTGCCAGGGCTGCATCCCATCCTGGGGACAGCAGGAATTCTGTATCCCGGGAATTCTGTACCCCATTTCCTGGAATTCTGTTTCCCATTGGCAGGAGTTCTGTATCCCGTTCTCGGATTACTGTAACCCAGCCCAGGTAACAGTGGTGTTGTTGTTGTTGTTGTTGTTGTTCTGGGGACACACAATCCAGGGAATTCTCTCCCAGTCCCGTCTGTTTCCGCAGCCAAACCTTCCTCCAAACCTCGGAGATTGCTGAGCCCAGCTCTCCTCAGGCACTTCAGGAATTCATTCATCCATCCCTGCGCCCCATTCCCCGTGTCCCATTGCCAGGAACGTCCCCAGGAACGTCCCCAAACAGAGCCACGAATCCCTGTGTCCCATTCCATGTGTCCCATTCCCATCCCTGTGTCCCATTCCCAGGAATGTCCCCAAACAGAGCCACCATTCCCCGTGTCCCATTCCCAGGAATGTCCCCAAGAATGTCCCCAAACAGAGCCACCAATCCCCATGTCTCATTCCATGTGTCCTATTCCCCGTGTCCCCTTCCCATTCCCAGGAATGTCCCCAAGAATGTCCCCAAACAGAGCCACCATTCCCCGTGTCCCATTCCCATCCCCGTGTCCCATTCCCTGTGTCCCGTTTCCCATGTCCCCTTCCCATTCCCAGGAATGTCCCCAGCAATGTCCCCAAATAGAGCCACCCATCCCCGTGTCCCATTCCATGTGTCCCATTCCCCGTGTCCCCTTCCCATTCCCAGGAATGTCCCCAAGCAGAGCCACCAATCCCCGTATCCCATTCCCAGGAATGTCCCCAGACAGAGCCACCAATACTTGTGTCCCATTCCCCGTGTCCCGTTTCCCGTGTCCCGTGTCCCATTCCCATTCCCAGGAATGTCCCCAGAAATGTCCCCAAACAGAGCCACGAATCCCCGTGTCCCATTCCCAGGAACGTCCCCAAACAGAGCCACCCATCCCCGTGTCCCATTCCCAGGAATGTCCCCAAGAATGTCCCCAAACAGAGCCACCCATCCCCGTGTCCCATTCCATGTGTTCCATTCCCCGTGTCCCATTCCCATTCCCAGGAATGTCCCCAAACAGATCCACCATTCCCTGTGTCCCATTCCCATCCCTGTGTCCCATTCCCAGAAATGTCCCCAAACAGAGCCACCCATCCCCGTGTTCCCATTCCCAGGAATGTCCCCAAACAGAGCCACCAATCCCCGCGTCCCATTCCCTGTGTCCCCTTCCCATTCCCAGGAATGTCCCCAAGAATGTCCCCAAACAGAGCCACGAATCCCCGTGTCCCATTCCCAGGAATGTCCCCAAACAGATCCACCACTCCCTGTGTCCCATTCCCATCCCCGTGTCCCATTCCCATCCCTGTGTTCCATTCCCATTCCCCGTGTTCCCATTCCCATTCCCTGTGTCCCATTCCCTGTGTCCCATTCCCCGTGTCCCATCCCCGTGTCCCATTCCCATCCCTGTGTCCCATTCCCCGTGTCCCATCCCCGTGTCCCATTCCCATCCCCGTGTTCCCATTCCCAGGAACGTCCCCAAACAGAGCCACCATTCCCTGTGTCCCATTCCCATCCCCGTGTCCCATTCCCTGTGTCCCATTCCCATCCCCGTGTCCCATTCCCATCCCCGTGTTCCCATTCCCATCCCCGTGTCCCATTCCCATCCCTGTGTCCCATTCCCATCCCCGTGTCCCATTCCCATCCCCGTGTTCCCATTCCCAGGAACGCGTTCCCATTCCCAGGGAGGTCACGGCCGCTGCCCCGCGGCTCTGGGCAGAGGAGTGGCTGCATTAATTAATTTAATTACTCCAAGCAGGTAACGAGCCAAGCTCGCTCCGGGCTCCCTTTCCTGAAGGGCGCGGCCGCCTCTCCCAAAATCCTGGGATTTGGGTGGGATCTGGGTGGGATCTGGGTGGGATTTGGGTGGGATCTGGGTGGGATCTGGGTGGGAATCCAACTCCACCTCTCCCAAAATCCCCAAGGGATCTGGGTGGGATTTGGGTGGGATTTGGGTGGGAATCCAACTCCACCTCTCCCAAAATCCCCAAGGGATCTGGGTGGGATTTGGGTGGGAATCCAACTCAACCTCTCCCAAAATCCCCAAGGGATCTGGGTGGGATTTAGGTGGGAATCCAACTCAACCTCTCCCAAAATCCTGGGATTTGGGTGGGATTTGGGTGGGATTTGGGTGGGATCTGGGTGGGATTTGGGTGGGATCTGGGTGGGATTTGGGTGGGAATCCAACTCGACCTCTCCCAAAATCCTGGGATTTAGGTGGGATTTGGGTGGGAATCCAACTCGACCTCTCCCAAAATCCTGGGATTTGGGTGGGATTTGGGAATTTCTCCTCCCCGACCGGCCCCAGGCTTTCAGGGGGATGAGGCAGGGACCGGCCAGGGCTGAAATCCCTCAGCTCCGGGGATTTGTGGGAATTCTGCTCTGAGCAGGGACCTGGGGAGCTCCAGAGCTGAGAATTCCCGGGATTCCTGGGAATTTGGGAATTCCCAGGGACATTCCAGGGATGGGATTCCCAGGAATTCTCCCCAGCATCCACCCCAACCCTCTCCTGATGGAGCTTGGTTTTCCCAGGGCCCAGATTTGGGGCCATTTCTGCAGATTTGAGTTCACTCCATCGTCGGGTTCCACTTGAGGATTTTCCACCCAAAATCTCCCCCAGAAGGTAAAAAATAAAGACAAAAAAAAACCCCAAAAACAGCGAGTTCTGTAGAGACATCCGTGGTTTCCTCTGGGAATCCCATCCTAGCACCCAACCCCAACCTCTGTTTTCTCAGAGGGCCCAGATTTGGGGGGAATTTCTGCAGATTTGAGTTGGCTCCACCTTCATTTTCCTCTCTTCCCCATTCCCACCCCACAGCTGGGGATTTTGCACCCCAAATCTCCCCTGGAAGGTGAAAAATAAAGGCCAAAAAAAGGCTCAGAGCAGGGAATTCCATAGAGAAATCCAAGGAATTTCCTCTGGGAATTCCATCCCAACCCCAAATCTCTGTTTTCCCAAGGCCCAGACTTGCGGGGAATTTTTCCAGATTTGGCTCCGTTTCCATTTTCCTCTCTCCCTCTTCCCATTCCCATCCCACAGCTGGGATTTTCCACCCCAGAAGGTGAAAAATAAAGGCAAAAAACAGCCCAGAGCAGGGAATAATTCCATAGAGAAATCCGTGGTTTCCTCTGGCAATTCCATCCCAACACCCAACCCCAAATCTCTGTTTTCCCAAGGCCCAGATTTGGGGGGAATTTTTATGGGGATTTTTTCCAGATTTGGCTCCGTTTCCATTTTCCTCTCTCCCCGTTCCCACTCCCACCCCACAGCTGGGGATTTTCCACCCCAGGAAGGTGAAAAATAAAGGCAAGAAAAAAGCCCAGAACAGGGAATAATTCCATAGAGAAATCCATGGAATTTCCTCTGGCAATTCCATCCCAACCCCAAATCTCTGTTTTCCCAAGGCCCAGATTTGGGGGGATTTTTCATGGGGATTTTTTCCAGATTTGGCTCCGTTTACATTTTCCTCTCTCCCTGTTCCCATTCCCATCCCACAGCCGGGGATTCTCCACCCAGGAAGGTGAAAAATAAAGGCAAAAAAAAGCCCAGAGCAGGGAATAATTCCATAGAGAAATCCAAGGAATTTCCTCTGGCAATTCCATCCCAACACCCAACCCCAATCTCTGTTTTCCCAAGGCCCAGATTTGGGGGGAATTTTTCCAGATTTGACTCTGATTCCATTTTCCTCTCTCCCCGTTCCCATTCCCACCCCACAGCTGGGATTTTCCACCCCAAATCTCCCCCGGAAGGTGAAAAATAAAGGCCAAAAAAAGCCCAGAGCAGGGAATAATTCCATAGAGAAATCCAAGGAATTTCCTCTGGCAATTCCATCCCAACCCCAAATCTCTGTTTTCCCAAGGCCCAGATTTGGGTGGAATTTTTATGGGGATTTTTTCCAGATTTGGCTCCGTTTCCATTTTCCTCTCTCCCCGTTCCCACTCCCATCCCACAGCTGGGGATTCTCCCCCCAGGAAGGTGAAAAATAAAGGCAAAAACCAGCCCAGAACAGGGAATAATTCCATAGAGAAATCCATGGAGTTTCCTCTGGCAATTCCATCCCAACCCCAAATCTCTGTTTTCCCAAGGCCCAGATTTGGGGGGATTTTTTCCAGATTTGGCTCCGTTTCCATTTTCCTCTCTCCCCGTTCCCATTCCCACCCCACAGCCGGGGATTCTCCCCCCAGGAAGGTGAAAAATAAAGGCAAAAAAAAGCCCAGAGCAGGGAATAATTCCATAGAGAAATCCATGGTTTCCTCTGGGAATTCCATCCCAACACCCAACCCCAAATCTCTGTTTTCCCAAGGCCCAGATTTGGGGGGAATTTCTGCAGATTTGAGTTGGCTCCACCTTC